CTGCTGGACGTATTACCTTTGAGCTCTTGCGGATGTAGTACTAAGACGGCTGAGAACTTTAGAGCTCTATGTACTGGTGAGAAGGGTATTGGTAGGTCTGGAAAGCCTCTATGTTATAAGGGTAGCTCATTCCATAGGATAATAAAGGAATTTATGTGCCAAGGTGGTGACTTTACTGCTGGTAATGGTACTGGTGGTGAATCTATTTATGGTGCTAAGTTCGAGGATGAGAACTTTAAGATCCATCATAGTGGTCCTGGTGATCTATCTATGGCTAATGCTGGCCGTAACACTAATGGTAGTCAATTCTTTATTACTACTGTTAAATGCAGTTGGTTGGATGGTAAACATGTTGTATTCGGCAAGGTAAGCTCCTCTGTTGTATATTAGTAGTTATTACTTTTTATCAGGTTAAGGAAGGTATGGATGTAGTTAGGAAGATGGAGGCTGTTGGTTCGTCCTCTGGCAAGACTTCTGCTCCTGTTGTTATCGCCGATTGTGGTCAGCTAGCTTAGATCATTAATCCTTATTCATACACTTATTATCAATAACAGACTTATTAATGTATGAAGATGATGAGTTTCCTCGATGATTATGAGTGTTGTGTGTTATAAGTAGGGTAATATCTCCTGCCCTGTAGGGTTCATGCTACACCATTATAATCACTAGAGTACCACCATAGCGCTACTCGAGATGAATGTCGCCGTGCTCGTGGTTGTGAGGAAATATTTCGCATGCACACATACCCTCCCTCGGTCAACGGTCCAGGATGATGATGATGATCAGTCTCTGATAGAGGTGTATCAGGTTTATAAACTTTAATAAGAGGTTATCCTCAATAACCTCATTTATCATGCTATTATCTATTATGAGTGCTTGTGGACAACTCTTCCTCGGAGTAGTAATGATTAACGGAATGAGTTAACGAATGTAGTGTCTGTGAAATCCCAGGAAGGAGGTATCACCACGCGCACGCCCATACCAACACAACGCACTCTAAAGTTTGTGACACAATTGTGTAACGCTGAAGCACCTTAGCGAATCATGAATGAGCAAGCAATCACTATAATAGAAGTTCTATTATAGAATTGTAGTTCGCAATAGTAGTACGGCTCTTAATGAGAGCTGAGCTACTCGCGAATCCGACCGTGGGTATCGGTCTACAAGGGAATTCTGAAATTTTAACCCACTACCAACCCTGAATACGGCGATGTCAATCGCCAGTGACGTATGGATGGTATACTACCAGAACGCCTGTAGTACTGTACTACTAGTACAGGCTTTTCACTTGATGACCATAAATGGCCCGATTGGACGGTTAGATGGACTATCCAACATGATGTCGATCATTTTAACCCATTTCATTTGACATCATGTGTCGCCGACGATTAGGCGGCGAAGGGCCCTACATTCACAAACTATGGTCACACAAGTGAGTATTATCTGCTGGTTTGACCATCCAAGACCTACAGCGGCCTGAAACTCACTGGCGCTATGACATGGAAAACCGAAACTAACTCGCCACAGAGTCACCAGGCTCGTGTTCGGGTTTCATGTTTAGGTTTTCCTCCCGCATACCCGTATTCGTGGGATTTTATTCTCGTGTTCATCAAAGTCGCTGGTGAATGGGTTGATCCAGTAACCGAGTGGACGGCGGCAGGTAACTTAGAGGAAGAGAGGAACCAATCCAATTCTATGTGGTTTTATCCCATAGGGATATTACATATATAATTCTTGACGGAGAATGTCGGGCAGCATAGTGCAAGTTCCAATGTACGTGATCAAGATCTTGGATATCGCCAAGATCCAGGTTAGTGTCCTATCCTGGATAAGAAGAAGGTCAATGGTCTTATCCTGGATAAGAAGAAGGTCAATGGTCTTATCCTGGATAAGAAGAAGGTCAATGGTCTTATCCTGGATAAGAAGAAGGTCAATGGTCTTATCCTGGATAAGAAGAAGGTCAATGGTCTTATCCTGGATAAGAAGAAGGTCAATGGTCTTATCCTGGATAAGAAGAAGGTCAATGGTCTTATCCTGGATAAGAAGAAGGTCAGCGGCCTTATTCCAGCGTAGATATTGGTGCACCGTTACAGTGTATCTCGAGAAGCAACCTCAGGAAGACATATACACCAACCTCTAGGCGACGACGGTGCCCGAGGCGGCGGCGTGGAGGGCTCGCTGTCACCAAGGAGCGGTCTCGCCATCACCAAACCGATTTTTGGGGTGTTTGTCTACTTAAAGGGTGGCGGCGGCCTACGGCCGCCTACGGCTACTATTCTCCCCCGGTTTGCTCAATAAGCTGGTCTTGATACCTTAACTCAAGTCCCCTCTAGTGCGCCGCGCGCCCGGAAAAAATGTTGGAAAAATCTCCTTACCGGGGATCGAACCCGCGACCGCTGTACTATGATTGATTCCCACCTACCAGACT